AAACAAGAGCAATTATATCTGATTAGATGATGACTGCCTCTGTAGTCTGAGTTGTGGAAGCTGAGGAAAAGACACATTTTCAATGTGAGTCATTTTGTTGTTGAAAACAGTAAAGGCAACATTGAAACAAGGTTTTTCTGATTGTTTTGGAGTAATTTAGAATGCAAACATAGCAATCAGCAAAACTGAGTGATCTGCCCCTTTATTTTTTGAGCTCAGAGAAACTTCTAGACATCAAATAGCTATTCTGCAATTATTCCGGAAAGACTATGCTCTGCTAAAGTACTGCAATGTAATTCTGGAAATGATATAGCTTGATTGACTCAAATTAAGTAACCGAATGACTGAATAAAAATGGTCATGGTCTTCATTAATCTCTTTCCTGAAGAAAGCATGCTGGGTCTCCTAGTACATCAAAACAAGGAATATCCTTTTTATTGAAATATCAAGTAAGGGTATATCAAGATAATGATATGAAATTTTACACTGTACTTACTGTACTGAAAATCAGTTATTAGCTCCCAATGTAGCAATCGCCTCCATAGTGTTTCACTATTTCTTCGTTAAGTGCAAAATGGGAAATTTTGTTCTACTGTTTTCCAGGAGAAAAGGGGCTGGGCTCTTTTTTTGCTATTGTTCTTGAAGCAATAAGCAAAAACTCCCAAAAAAAGTCTGAAACCACAGGAAACTCAGCTGATTTGGGATTTGTATAGGGATGAAATCTTCCAGGTTTTTTTTTTTTTTGCATGCAACTCTTCCTGGTTCTTCTTCTTTCTTCTGTATTTTAACCATGAGATTTTGCTGACTCCATACAGCTTTGAACATTTGGAGACAGAATTCTGTGATTTAATTTTTCTCTTTCTCTTCAGTGGACTCAGAATAATAATGCACTGAGATTAAGCCAGAATTTCAATGGGAATTACAAAGCTCTCTCAGTGGCTATAAGAGCACCATAACCTTTCATTGTTTTCATAAATATGCAGTATTGCCAGTGTATTCTAGTTTTTACCGTATTTTATTCCAGAAGAGACTAGAGCAATTAGAAATTGAAGAGGGGTGATACCATAGACTAATTTCAAGGTGAAGCATTAATTGAGCAATGAAGTCTCCTAGTCTCTCCAGATTTATTCTCAGTAGGGAGCAAAACCAACAGGAACAATGAAGGGTTCAGCGTTTTTCTTCTCAAGTGTCCAAAAAGAATGATGAAACAAAACCAGAATGAAATTATTCTTCACTGACTACTCCTATAGTACCTATCTTGAGGCGTATGCTTTCTGACCCTCCAGAAAGGCTAACTAGATTGTGTGCTTCAGTGCTTTTGTTTATATGTATTAAACCAGCCAATTGTTGGCCAGGAGAGGCTTACTCCATAATCCTTTGAGAGGTTACAGAGAATGCCATGTGTAACCACAAATGCCTGCAGCAGAAGCAACATTAAGCTTAGAAGTGCTAATTTTCAAATGTTCTCCATCTTAAGCTAAACAAGAACTTGAACTGTGTTAAATTCTAGGCATACGCACTAAATTCTAAGCATGCTGGGTTGTTTTGGTTCAAGAAACGTCACTGGAATAATTTCACTAACTATATTAGGAGAGGATTTTTGTTCTCTTGGGCAAAACTTCTCAGCTTTTTTTCGTACTGTGGACAACATTCTCCAGTCTACTGAGAAATTCATCAGTGTCTCAGCTGCCTTTTCAGCAGACTGCCTCCTCCACCCACCACAACTGCATGCTCCAACAGTCACTTACACATCAAGGACATTTTAAGAAAGTGGGCTTTTTATTTTTAGCTTCTGTTAATGCACTTTAGCAGCTGGAAAACAGAGAGAGGAGCCAACACTATGAGACCAGCCAGCTCTCTCTATAAGCCATCAGTGAAAGCTCTGGGAAGTATCAGTGGTTCACAGATTTCGTTTTGGGAACTTACGTAACAGAGATCTAAGTTCACAGTGAAAGCATATTACAAGTTTCAGACTTGTCATCCTACATCAGTATTCATAAGGACAGGATTTTAACCTAACTTTCCATCAGAATCCTGGATCAAGATTTTTTGATTTAGGGTCCTGAAGCATCTTATGATTACAACAAAGAGAAAACCCTAAATCCTTCTATTTTTCCTATTATTTTTTTTGCCATGTGTTGTTTTTGGAAGTTTTAAGACTATTTCAATTAATAAAGCAATAATATTTATACACTAAACACTATCAGTTTAATTAATATATAATTGTATTTAATACAGTGGCATTAGTAGACACAGCACTTCAGAATTTTGCAGGAAACAAGAAAGTTATCGTGTCATAGCCTGCCCTGGGAGACACATCAACTTCCCTTCTTGGCTCTCATTCCATTGACCACGCTGACTGCTGTCTGCAGTCTTGAGTTTTAGGCCTCCTTGCTCTTATCACAGGAGCCATTTTGCAGAACACATGCTGTTCTTCATCCTGTGCCACTTAAATCTCTGCAGACAGGCAATTTCCTCCAGACTGAGGGGGATGGAGGGAGAGGAGATGTATATACAGGGAAGGGAGTCATTTCCCCTTTTCTCAATTACAGCCCTAGGCATAGATGAAAGCTTTTTAGTTTCCACCCAGCTCCTCAATACCCTTTCACCTCTGCTTCATGGCCTGATTCTCACCTTCTTGCCATCCATGGAATGGGCTACAAACCCAAGGTTGCTTTAAACTAGTCCCATTCTGGCACAGTGGTATGGACTAATTCAAAAAGTATTCACCCAATTTCTCAGACTACTTTTGTACCAAAACTCACATAAATACTGGCCTAAATGAGTGTGCCTTATTTTTTATTAACCAGTGAATATTAATTTTTCATGTCAGAATTGATCGATCTCCTACCGTGTACTCTCATCTCCAGTGGTAGTTGTACCTATCAATTACAATAAGATTTCCACCTACAAAGTTATTTTCAAGCATTAATACAGTATTTTTTTGCTATTACCAACAATACAGACAATTTAACAAACTCAGGGTTGCAATATCCTCATAAGCAATTCTTGTAATGCTTTGGAGAAACACGTCAGCCTATTTGGCTCTGATTGCCACAGACTCAAAATCCTGATCATCCAATCAAAATGTTATTTCCGTCCTTATCATTCTTGGATGCTGGCCATATTTGATGCCATATTTGATTTTTAATGTGAACCTTCTCTCTGTATCCAAAATCTAGTATTCATAACAGTATACCTCTATATAGCCTGCTGTCATATAAAGCATACACACACCTATCAATGTACACTCTAAGGAATATCTAACAACTGGACAGCAGTGAGTGTTTTAAATAGTCCGAAGTTATAAATCAATTTATTGCAAACCTGCCACACTACCAAAAGAGGTACTTTTGTACAGCTGGGAATAAAGACAATCTATATACAGTACATCTTGAAGACTTGACAGGCCCAGGTCTATTTAAATAAACCACTGGAACCTCATGGCAGCTATTCTTTGTCACAGAGGGTACAGATGTGAATCTCTGCAGACAAAGTTCTGCTATTTTTAGGGTTGGGATTGTGGAAGCTGCCTGTGGTCAGGGAGGAAGGGCCTCTTTCTTTTGTAAGAGGGGAGGCTGGAGAAATCTCCTTAAACTCGACACAACTCTGGGTAAAGTTAAGCCTCCATAAACTGTCTGCCTTCAGGACCTGAATAGACAAGTGATCTGAAGTTTACCCTTTGCTTTTACCATGGCTTTGCGGTTCCTGGTCAATACAACTGTGGCGTGAGGAGGCTGTAAGCCCCAGCAGTCTGTGAAAGAGTATGTGTGAGGCAGCGTGTGCCTCCAGACCAAAAGGCCATTGAGTCTGGGGTCACAAGTTATTTAAAATTCTGGTTTTTATACTGCTAGTGTTGTTTAACTGGCTCTGGGCAACATAGTGGACTACAATCACCCACACTTGTGTGTTTGTTTTGCTTTTGTCATGGGTTCCTCAAAATCCATTAAATGATGTCTGGACAAGGCTGAAGACCCCTGGCCTGGGTATCTTCACCTGCAATAACGCCACTGACCCAGCTGTGCTGGTCCACTACCTTGCGTGGCAGCAGAGTTTTACTCACTCGCATCACCTCTGCTCACTTCATGTCAGTTTAAAGGAGTCCTGGGGGAAGTGACACAGATCTGCTGAGGCCAGAGAGCTGCAGCTGTGGTAGAGTAACCTGAAGAGCCATCTCAGGCTCCGGTCTGCATGTTTTACTCTTGCATTTCAAGAGCCATTTCAGTATTGCCCAGATCCACGCATCCCTAGCTCTGAACATCCCTGGTGGCCAAGAAGCCCAATGGCATCCTGGCTTGACTCAAAAATAGCGTGGCCAGCAGGACTAGGGAGGTGATTTTCCCCCTGTACTCGCCACTGGTGAGGCCACACCTCGAATACTGTGTCCAGTTTTGGGTCCCTCACTACAAGAGGGACATTGAGGTGCTGGAACAGGTCCAGAGAAGGGCAATGGAGCTGGTGAAGGGTCTAGAGAACAAGCCCTGTAAGGAGCAGCTGAGGGAACTGGGATTGTTTACTCTGGAGAAAAGGAGGCTGAGGGGAGGCCTTCTCCCTCTCTGCCACTACCTGAAAGGAGGTTGTAGTGAGGTGGGGTCAGTCTCTTCTCCCAAGTCACAGGCAATAGAGCAAGAGGAAAAGGCCTCAAGTTGCACTAGGGGAGGATTAGATTAGATATTAGGAAAAATTTTTACACCGAAAGGGTTGTCAAGCATTGGAATGGGCTGCCCAGGGAAGAGGTTGAGTCAGCATTCCTGGACATATATAAAAGATGTGTAGCGGTAGTGCTGAGGGGCATGGTTTAACGGTGGATTTGGCAGTACTAGGTTAACAGTTGGACTTGGTGATCTTAAAGATCTTATCCAACCTAAAGGATTCTATGCTTCTACGTTCTCAGATTCATGGGGAGCTTGAAGATCAGTTTCTCAGCTTCACCAGTGATCACATCTCTCTTAAATCTGGAAAAAAAAAGTATGCCTGGTGATAAGACATAAGAAGCCTACCTTGGGGGACAGGGGTCCAGGCTACAGGCTTTCAGCAGCTGTGGAGGACGGCGGCTGGTTACACACAGTGTCTCGTCCGCGGTCTCCCTGGTTTGTTTGTTCAGGCAGGTCACCACAGCCTCCTGGACACCTGCACACAACAGCACAAGGTCACAGCCAGCTCTCCTTACTCGAGGGGCAGCCGAGGGCAGAGACACCCCCTCGGCTGTGTGTGAGGAAGCACAGCCTGACTCTGAGGGCTGCGGGGAGTGAGGAGACTCCTTTCCTCTCAGCAGTGACGTGTTCGCTGCCCGCATCCGAGCACTCTGCCTGACAGTCTGTGAGGAGCATGGTACGAATGTCTACCAAAGGGGGATGTCTCTTGGTGCAGCGAGCAGGGAAAAATCGCAGCTCCTTTTCTCCCTTCATCTGTAACTCTTGCAATTTTCCAGACACAGTCATACATTGCTTGCTGCACCTTTTGCATCCCCTTCCCCAGCCAGCTGGCAGATGACCTGATCAAAACAACACCTGGGATGTTGGGCTTTTACTTGCCTTTGCTTTCAGTATCACTAGGTGCCTCGATTGTAGTTAAAAGTCCCTAGGTTCATTCACAGCTTACCTTCCCTGCACAGAAAGTTGCCCCGTGCTCTCTAGTGACTCATCCTTTCACTCCGAGTGCAGCGAGGCTGCATATTTGTCAGTCAAGCAGGCTAAGGAGTGAAGATAAGGAAACATAAGGGAACTCGGAACATCAGGAAAAACTTCTCTACTTTAGGGTAACAGAGCCCTGGAACAAGCTGCCCGGAGAGGTTGTGGAGTCTCCTTCTCTGGAGATATTCAAAACCTGCCTGGATGGGACCTTGTGCACCTTGCTGTAGGTGAACCTGCACTGGCACCAGGGCTGGACTAGAAGATCTCCGGAGGTCCCTTCCAACCTCTACTATTCTGTGATTCTGTGAAGATGGCCTTGATTTTTGTCATGCTATATTATAAAGAACAGTATGATTGCTATACATGCAAAAGTAAAGTAAAACAAGGTCAGACAATTCAGCTGCTCTCAGTTACTCTTCTGCATCCCCAGACCTGCACCTAAACTGAAGAGGCAGACCCACGAGGTATATCTGAGAGTTGGGACAGAACAAGGGTAGCTGTTGGGACTAAGAGAGAAGCAGGAAAAATTGGGGATTATGTTTTAAGTCAGGAAATTCTTGGTGATACCAAATTCCTTATTTACTCTTCGGCGTACCAGTTACTCTGTAATGCTTTTACTATGAGTAAGGTAGGAATATTCCAGATTTTTTGGATCACAAAGCTAGAAAGCTAGAAAATCAGAGATGGCAACACCACTTGCCACAGGAAAGAGTACTTAGTGAGAGAGGATCTACTTCTTCCCCTGGGGGTCTGAGGATAATAACTGGGCTGAAATTCTTAAAAATCTAGTCCACAGAGGTTCAAGCAAAGTGGAAGTATGCTTTTTACATTCCTTCCTACTTCCTGAGTTAGGAAAAGATTAGCTGAACTAATGACAATTGCATCATCTTCTCAAAACCAACAATTAGTTTCAAAAATATCTCGCACTCTTTTGAAGACACCAGTGCTTACAAAAATAGCACTGGAAGAGCCTGAATAGCTCCAAGAGCAATGTAACTGCCAATATCTTTTGCTGTTTCTAATGGCAGACCACATGTTTTTAGACAAACAATGATATCACATTATTCAACAGTACCAAAGTGCTGCAACTCATCGTAGTTCCTGTACTCCTGAAATTTTTCATGGATTCATTCCCCTTATTCTCAATACAGACTGAGAAGAGGCCCACAGCAAAGTGGCATGTTGAGCAATTTATTGATTCCTATGTCTGCAAGCATATTCAGGGCATGCCTATGGCTCAAGAATAGGCAGTGTCTGACAGTACCCAAGGTTCTGAAAAGAAGAAAAAAAAATTGATATTTTTGGACTTGGATATCAACATGGAAATTACCAAAGTCCCTGAAGTCAGCCAACATTGTTGTGAGTTTCCTTCTATACAAGGTGACCCCATATTTTCAAGCCATTTTACTATTCAAGTAATCTCCCAAAAGACTTAAAAAAGTTGTAAAAAGGATAGTTCATCGATAGAATATAAGAAATAGTAGTGATTTATTTCTAGGAAAGGAAACCAATGAAATTTCTATACATAAACAATATGTTCTCTACCCTGTCATGTTTTGTATCTTTCCAGTTCAATCATTTGAGCACATTATCATAGTGTGTACAGCAAACAGAGGTGTATGAATTCCCCAGGACAGACTGCTCCTGGCTGCAGAACAGCGGTGGTTCTCTACCTGATGGAAAATGGCACTGTGTTCAATTATCTACTTTGCATTGATCACTTGTGCAGGCCTGACAGCAAGACCAATCTGAAGAAGGCAGGAGAGAAGGACTGCTTCTGAAACCGGGAAAGTAACTCTGGAAAGAAACCACCGAGTCCTGCCACATGCTGGCAACATCTTTCTATTTGCCTAGGATACAGCTTGCACACTATCTGTAGGTGCTGGATGTTTTTCCTTTCAGATCAAAATTTTGTAAATAGGCTGTACTTCCACAGCTTCAGTTTCTCCCCTCTGAATTGTGTCACTAATGAGCACTTGATCAGTGACTATCAACTACCTTAACACTTTTGCATTGTCTGTTTTAGTGCTGGCTATCCAGAAGTGATTGACTGCAAGGCTTTGAATTCAGCCTGTTCTCCGTTTCTCATACTGATGGTTTTGTTTTATTAAATGCATATAGGCAAGCTCTGATACTACTGCTCTTCACTTTTCAGTATTCAACCTCCCAGTGAGTTCATTTCCCATTCTTCCGGTCACTTAAGTCATCTCTGATTGTATTTCCAGTAATTTCAGTCTATCCTACCAGCATTCTACTCCACTCATTATAATTTCCTTTCAGAGATTCTCACAACATTTTACCTTTTAAAGGTACTGGCAGGACCAGTAATCTTGCCTGACAGCTTGGGTATTGAAGAAAAAGGCTCATGCCTGAATTCAGCCAGTCTGTGGTTGCTAGACTATGTGTTGACAGAAGTTTCTGGCTCTAGTCTTGTGCCAGTGACTTTAAAAAAATTTTAAAAAAAATATCTGGCTTGCTCCAGCAGCAAACAAATGTGCTCAGAAACACTTTCTTTAGCTTGAATCTCGCACTGAACGTGTCTCAGCATACTGATAACAACTGTCCCTCTGCTTTGGATAGGTCAATGCAGCAAATGGTTATAAGCTTTAAATCAAGGTTGGATCATTCAACATTTAGAGAATATAAATACCTTTGATTATCTATCAGAAGTTCCACAGTACAGAGATAATCAAAAGAAGCGTATGAACTTCGGGAAGTTTACGTGCAAAGTAACAATTCTAAACTTTATTTGCTGCACAACATTACCAGAACAAAGCGTTATCTGCTTTAAAATTGTTTTCCCTGAAAAAAAGAAATCAGTTCTCAATAGGAAAACACAATATTAAAGGGCATAAGGGTGGGACGTGAATCTAGGCAGTTTAAGTTCACTTTCAAAATACCATCAAATGAGGCTTTCTGTGTTTATATCTACCAGAATAGAATAATTGTTACATGATATTTGATGACAGCTCTGGGAAATGCAGCCACTAACAGCAGACTAAATGACTAACTAATTCCTCCTGGTTGCTACTTCTGGGAGGTGAAAGGTTACTTCTGCATCTATCAAATTTCTTCTCTTGAGACTCCAAAACCAATAAAATTAGTTTGACAGGTCTTGCACCTATGGCTACAAAAATGTCTGACTTAGCATCTGCTAATCCAGAAAATTCAGAGTTAACGTCAGGCATGAAGAAATCTTGGCTAACAATTTTTGCTGACAATTGAAAGAGATTAAATTTATAAAGCAAAAATGTCTCTGTCATATCTGTGAGTTATATTTGAAAAATACACACATACTCACTATTTCAAATAAATTACTTGTTTTCAAGAGGCTATTTCTAGAAGCTATTCAGGTTTCAGTATTCACTGTGTAAGTGGGGCAAATTTTTACTTCTCACTAGTAGCCTCAATATATCACTCCTGTAAACTCAGTGTTTGTCACCACTTAGCATTTGCTAGTGTCATATTTTTTATTTAAGAAACAAAAAAATAGTGGCAATGGATTGACAACTCTCTGTGAACTGCTCTAAACACTGACTACTGTCAGCAACTTAAAAGTAAGCATAGAAAATCTTTGCATTACTGTCTACTAACTGTGCCTTTTAAGTTTGTAACTCATTACTGGCGTATCTGTACAGATCACACTATTAACCAGTCATAAAGCACTGAGTGGTTTCCAGTTCTACACTATCTGTCTGTATTTATCTATAGTAATCCCTTTTTAAATAGTCTGAAACTCATAAAGTAAAAAGACAGCAGCTGGAGAAGTCTAGATTAAATTCAAATTATACTGGAGTGAACGTACCTCTCAGAACTAGATAGGCAAAATGATGATTATACAAGGGGAAAAAAAAGGTTATCAGAGATCTGTGCATTAATAGTTTATCACATGTGGAACCTGAGACCTTGATTAACTTTGAAACACTCCAAGTGCCAAGCCTGCTACCTTCAGACAATCACACCATTAGTGCTTTTCTTACCATATGTTTTCTTTTGCACTGGAATCAGAGATAATGTCACTTAGTGTTAGGAGTTCGGGAACCAGCTGAGCCCTGAGAATATCAATAATTTAATGCATCTGCTATGGGAGGACAGTTTTCTTCAATATGTTTATACTTGAACACTACAAATCAAGAGATAAAAACTAAAATGACACTTGATTCTTAGCCTGTGTCACTAGTCTTTTTTTTGCCCAAGTGCCTTTTTGAGTGATCAGCTGATAAAAAGAAATGGAAATATGTGATACATTGATCACTCTTGGTGACAATCTGAGCACGGAATCTGAAAGTCCTGGGCTAAAATATGTTCTGTATGTGGGTTTTTTCCACAGTTTTCATCCATGACTTTTCAAATACATTGGGATTCAATGATCTTATGGTTAGACTCAATGATCTTAAAGGTCTTTTCCAACCTAAATGATTCTGTGATTCTAAACAGCAGCACGTCTGTGGCTGTTAACTGCAAAGCACACACCTGAAGAGGGAAAGCAAATCCAGCACAGAAACATTTTGCACCTACCTCCTCCACAGGACTCCGAACACTGTGTAAAGCCCTCGTATTCCCAGTCATAGAGCTCATCAAACTCCTGCAAGCTGCCATACAGCAGCTCAGTTTCCTCTGGGGTATATTCGGTTGCCTCCCCGCTGCAGGGACCGCTGTAACAGGCTCTCTGAGACACAGGTTTGGGACCTTCACATTCATCGATGGGCAAATCAGCCACAGACTGAGAGAAAGAGAGGAGCACTTGACATTTCACAAGCCGCACCTGGCTGCCCACTCCACAGGTGACACTACAGGCGGACCAAGCCTCAGGAATAAACCTGCGAGAAGAAGAAAGCAAAGCAAGTTATGTCCACAAACAGCCAGACAAGCAAAAGCAGTATAGCCCTGTCCAGGCCAAATTCTGCTTAATGAGAAACAAATGCTTCACCTATGTGTGCTATTATGAAGCACACATAAGAGCCGTGGCATATTGTTGACAACTCAAAGTTAACAGTGGAAAGGCTCGCAAGTACTCATGGAGTGTCTCCCTGTACCCTGGAAGGAAAATGTACACTTAGAGCACCCGCCTTCATCCTAAAATGTCTCAGTGCAAGGCACCCTGCAATGTCCCAATGTGATTCCACTAGCTACTTTTTGCTAGTGTTTAGCCCAGATCACCCTTTCCTTATTTGATATTATGATTATGTCACGAGTAAGTATTGAACAGGCTGCTGTTATCAGCTATTTGCAGTGTTACAGGGAAAATAATTTCAATCATTGTTCCTGTATAGCAGTAACCATTTCCAAGACTTAATTTGAAAACATAAAAAAGATAACAAACCCACCATTTCTGTAGCTGCTTTTTTTTTTTTTCTTTCCCTAGTACTGTTAATTTTCCTTCTCATAAAATAAAAAGCAGACAGTGTTCCATTTATATTCTGGCTTTGTCTGGCTGTTGCTCTAGTCCCACTGATTAGGAACCCTTACATACTCCAAATTTTTGCCTCTGAAAGCCCATACATACTTTAATAAAAGCACCTTGCAGCCATCATTACAATAAGAAAAATGGACTGAATTAGTTTTTTTTGTTTGTTTTGTTTTCCTCAACAATGGAATAATTTCTCAGTTTTTCTGTGTTGTCACCACTTTTTCAACATCTTAAAAAAAAAATCATTGCTGGAAATCAGCTTAGCTTTTTACGCAAAGTAACATCAAGCAAAAGGGTCACATTCAACTCCATATTACATCATTACCACCTTGTTTAAATGTAGCACACCTTGTTTTGCTGAAGCTCATGTTGATCTATGTTTATTCCTAAATATTTCTGGAAACAGTGGTTCCAGGGTATTCCATGACCTGCATTATTTACGCTTAGATGCCTGATGTTGGTGATATTAAAGCACTGCGGTAATGAATTCAGGTTACAGGGTGATTCAGATAGCTTTGTGTGACTGTTTTGTCTTCTCTATTGGCCATTCTACCAAACATCCTGCCACAGGCAACACAGTGGTTGTAGATGTACTTCAAAGGCTGAAACAGAAGAGCAAGTAGTTGGATCTGGCATTGATCCCTTAAGAACCTCACAGGAACAATTCCTATTGATAAAGCTCTCCCAAAAGTAAGCATTTGGGATCTGTCAGCTCCTTCAAACTGAGCAATTTTTTTTTTTACTGATATTTTTGAGTGCTAATCTAATGAACCGAAAGCTTTCTGCCATAGGGTCAACTGCCTGACAGAAATCCGTGTCTTTCAGCACTTAATACTGTGCATTAGCTAAATTTATCAAATAAATTAGAACCTACGGGAAGTATTTTTTATTAAAACATCGCTGTCACTGAGAGGATTTCTTCCTTTTGGTCTTCATTTCGATAAGTCACCACTTGGACGGCAGGCTTGGACAACAGACTTGGACACCAGACTTGGACACCAGACTTGGACAGCTTTGCCCAGGGCTGAAGGCAATACAAACATCTGTCTCTTTTATGTTCTAGGGCTACTCTGGGCTATAGAAAACTCATTTCTCACCTTGAGAATAGCATGAACAGTGTGATAGGAGGAAAAAGGAAATTTAGTTTTGTGATCAGCATCTTTGAAAGTATTTTTACACACTTCTCTCTTTCATGCATTGCCTTTCTGTAGTTGACAAAATTATTTTCCTTTCACTCTGGGGTTAAAAAAGAGAATCCAAACCCAAGAAAGGAACCTGATGCCCCCCCAGCATATGTGTACCAGGGTCCCTGACTGGAACAGCATAGTCTTGTAGAGCAGAGAGTGTGCATCTCTTTACTCACTTTTTGTGGGTATTTATAACATCTTGTTATAAACCTGATATCCACTACTAGTACTATACACAGGAAGTAATACAAAGGAAAAAAAAGGACTGTATATATTATTGGAACATTTGAAACTGTTTATAATGCTGCTACAAAGACCGCAAAATTTCTTTCTGGAGCAAAGCCTTTGAGAAACTAATGATGCAAAGTGATTCCATTTCCCTACTCAGACATTTTATCTTAAAAGACTAGTCTTGTTTCAAATATGATATCCTTCATTTTGAAAGGATTATAGTCTTAAACTGTACAGGTGGGCCACTCATATTGTTTTCTCTAAGACTGTGCAACTGCTATAATACTATTTTGATGTGGAAAAATTTCCTGTCACAGATTAAACAGTCCACGTCAGTTATTATGACTTTGATATTTTGTTTAGTTTAAATGTGTAGCTTCTTGACCCGAGAAGCTAAGAGGTAGAACTCCTAATCAAGCTATTAAAAAAAAAAAAAAGCACTGGTCTTCATCAGAAGCTTTTTTTAAACATTGTGAATTGTTGTGTAACTCTGTTGAAGAGCCACTGTATTTGAAACTGAAAGGGATGATCTTTTGCCAGGTATTAAAATTAATCATTTAGAAAAACAGATACTTCCTATACTCAGAATATTTACACATGGTGTATATCACACATACAAACAAGGAACAAAAGAAAGAGGACACAAAAGGTAAGAACAATATTAAGGCAAAAGGGATCATTTTGGAAATGAGGCTTGATCTATAAATGCCACATATTATTTTACCCTAGTCAGCAACTCATAATGAAAACACTGGAATACTTTCAGGAAATTATATTTTATTCAGCTTTTTAGGCCAAGTTTCTACATTTTAAGTGATAAATTTGGAAGTGTAATTTCATTCTAATATAACTGTTGGCTGCTAAAGAGGGAACTGGTAGAATCAAAAGAGTTGAAAGCAGCAAAAAAAGGGGGGAAAAACAAGAAAACCCTGCAAACAAAATCCCCATATAGGACTTGTCATTACATACTGAATATTTCTGTAATGTGAATGTATAATATAAATATACAATGGTTCTGAATTTTCCATCATCCTAAACCAGGAAATTACAAAGGCTTTCAAATATATTTGTGTTGTCATTAATGATAAATGTTGCCAAATGGTGAGTACAAAACACAAAAAGTATGTGGATAATAAGCAGTCAATTCCATGGGTTCAAAGTTATTTATACTGCATGAAGGGTATCTTCCACTGCACAGCATTGTGTTTTTCTGTATGTTAACACCTGGGTATTCTTTGAAAATGGAAGTAGTAGAATAGATTTACTGAGAATTAGGTTTTTAAGAAAGCAGGAAATGATGGAGGTGTTTCAGTTGTCATTGCTTGTTGTTTAATTAAATGCCACTGTAATAACAGTTGCTACAGTAACAACCTGAATAAATATGACAAAGGCAATAGCTAGTTCTAGTAATGTGGCAGTAGTAGTGGTCAGCTAGAACCTAGTTGTGTTAATAGCTGTAAAAGTGAAAAATAAAAAGGGGTCTCTTGCCTCAAAAAGATTACACTGAGTATTTCATAGCTCTCACCATACTTCTCAGATTAGCATGCTGCCATTGCATCAAAGATTCTCTTCTTTTATTCCTCTGCACAGCAGACATGGCAATGCTTCTTCCCCAAAGGAAAAATTAAGTAGTGTGTTCTGAGAACTCTGATAAATATTTTTAAAAGGAGTCTTTTGCTCCTACTTAAGAGAGATTCACTACTAGGTGGAGAAGTGAAAGCTCTAAGGAGGGAAAATCATGACCTTGCTGTGTTATGGCTGACTTTACTGTGCCTACTGCTATTCAACTGCTGGAGCACTGACTACATTGCAACTCAACTGTAGAATGGCTGATGGGTCCCTCTGCCTGTCAACCCCCCGTACATGGGCACCTCCGTGGGCAGCAGTGCTCTCAAGTGGAAAAGGAAAAGGGTTGGAATTGAAGGTGGAAAACTCTCCAAAGAAAACTGGGGTTTAAAAATGTATGGTGCTTGTACAGAAATGCCTGTACTTTTTTCCTTGACCTGTGGGCACTTCTGTGGTGATGGACCAGCAACCTTTTCCCACTATACAAGCGCCCTTGCAAAATAGTGAGGCATGGTATTTTTCAGTGGTTTTTGCTAGCTGTTGAGGTTTCACAATTTGCACAAGAACTGTGTTCAGCTGAAGGGACTATTGTTGCACCATTTTTCATATGCACATTAACCTGCACTGGGCTGCATAATGTGTTCAAGGAATAGCAGACAAGAAATGTAATGCCACTGACATCGATGGGCTCCTGCAGGAATCATTCAGGTGTGGTACTGAGCCAGTTTTGGCTCATTGCTTTTGTAGTGCACTATAACCACTGAAAATATATTTTAAGGAAATTTAAATATGACAGCAAAACCAGCTTACCGTGTTTGTATGTAAAGCACTTATTACAAAACATTGGTCAAACTGTGAAAAGCACAGCAGTCCAGCCCTCAGGCTGCACATCCAATGGACCTGCAAGTACAAGTGAATTGCAGTTGTCCACAGAATTTTGATCCACACGTGAACACACTGGGGAAATACTACTTGCACAGCTCAATTTTGCAAGGACTGTTTGCATTGTAGATATTATTATGCACATTCATAGATAGAAAGCCGCTTTCAGACAACAGTGTGTCTAGTGGGGTTTTTTTAAAAAAATAATTTCCTCTCTGAGCTATATAAAGGGAATGTATTTAAAAGTTCAGCTTTTGTAGACCAAACTGTGCTACACAATGATCACTTGCATACAAAGGTAGCAAAAGTGAAGTCAAAATTTAAGTTGAGAACAGTTATGACAATGGCACTACTTAGTCTTGGGATAATTATATTTTTTAATTCAAATTCTGGGCACAGCTAAGGACTGGTGTATATTCCCCTTTGCATAGGGGAATATATACATAACTGGGGAAGTCAGAAGAAGAGAAACACAAAGATAGAGTCCATGCTGAGTAATGGGAGACCTTCTATAGCAGGTCATAGTGGGTTCAGGGTGAGAGAG